CCAACTCCCAGATGATTTTCCAGTTTGCTGGTTAGAGCCACGATGCCAGAGTTGGCGTTCTGAATGGGCAAGCAAAAAATCTCTATTTAGTTTCCACATTCTGTAAAATTTTAAAACAAAATTCAAGGCGAAAGAAAAGCAAGAAGACCCAATTGTCTCCTTTCAGCCATCCTCTCTGAAGTGAACTGTGAATATACATTAAAACCGAATATTTGATCAAAACAGCTAATCATAGATTTAGGCTGAATGTACTGAATGTTAAATATGCAAATCATTTAAAATTTTGTTTTCTTTGGATTTCTCCTTAAAATTGTCACATGCAAGATGGTATAAATGTGCAGTAAGAGTTACAACTTGTATTTCCAGATTAATACAACATGCATTTAGTTCTGCATCAGCCTTCCCTTCTGTTTATCTTACGGCCAGGTGAAAGGAGAAATCCTTATTAGAAAAGCTAAGAACTTAGCAGGTAAAGTCTAAGATCTATCAGGCGGTTCAGCCAATTTGGTGGCAGCCTATTGTACTGAGTGTCCTGATCTGTGGTGTGCCTAACCTTATAGGATACAAACCCTTACTTTAGGAAAATAATAATAATAATAATAATAATAATAATAATAGTAGTAGTAGTAGTAATAGTAGTAGTAGTAGTAGTAGTAGTAAAGTTGGAAGGGACCTTGGAGGTCATCTAATCCAACCCCCTGCTCAGGCAGGAAACCCTATACCATTTCGGACAAATGGCTGTCCAGTCTCTTCTTAAAAACCTCCAGTGTTGGAGCATTCACCGCTTCTGGAGGCAGGTTATTCCACTGGTTAATTGTTCTAACTGTCAGGAAGTTTCTCCTTAGTTCTAGGTTGCTTCTCTCCTTGCTTAGTTTCCACCCATTGCTTCTTGTCCTGCCTTCAGGCGCCTTGGAAAATAGCTTGACACCCTCTTCTTTGTGGCAGCCCCTAAGATATTGGAACACTGCTATCATGTCCCCCCTCGTCCTTCTCTTCATTAAACTAGACATACCCAATTCCAGCAGCCGTTCCTTATATGTTTTAGCCTCCAGTCCCCTAATTACCTTTGTTGCTCTTCTCTGTACTTTTTCTAGAGTCTCAACATCTTTTTTACATCGTGGTGACCAAAACTGGATGCAGTATTCCAAGTGTGGCCTTACCAAGGCATTGTAAAGTGGTATTAATGCTTCACGTGATCTTGATTCTATTCCTCTGTTAATGCAGCCTAGCACTGTGTTGGCCTTTTTGGCAGCTGCAGCACACTGCTGGCTCATATTTAGGTGATTGTCCACTAGGACTCCAAGGTCCCTCTCACAGTTACTACTATTGAGCAAGGTACCCCCTATACTATATCTGTGCATTTGGTTTTTCTTGCCTAAATGTAGAACCTTACTTTTTTTCACCATTGAATTTCATTTTGTTAGATAGTGTCCAGTGTTCAAGTATGTCCAGATCCTTTTGTATCCTAAGCCTGTCTTCTGCAGTGTTGGCTATTCCTGCCAGCTTGGTGTCGTCTGCAAATTTGATGAGTTCTCCATTATCCCCTCGTATAATATATAAAGGCATTGCAACAAACAGTTGTTTCCTGGCTTTTACCTGGCTGATAAGATTGTCCTCTGGAATGACTGAAGACACAATATTTTGTAGCTGTGCCCATGGTAGGACCCTAGGTCCCCTCAACTTGTTTGTCCCTGCGTGCTCTGAGCTTGCTTGTTTCCCGCTAAGAGGGCAATAAGAAGTATCAATTGGTAAAAACTACACTTTGGGGGCTTTTTACCTGCCCTTTCAGCCTAGAGAGCAAAAAAAATCCTTTTCAAGTCTTCTGCTATCTGGGTTCCAGTAGCTAGTCAAGGCTGAAGCACAAAGAGCAAAGATTGACTAGGGTTATAATATTTGAGTGGGAGAAAAAAGAACCCTGGATGAATTCACACATTGTAATCTGTCACATGGCCATTGCATTTTGGCTTAAAGCAGAGCTGTCCACCTTGGCAACTTTAAGACTTGTAGATTTCAACTCCCAGAATTCCCTACCTAGCATGGCCAGCTGGGGAATTCTGGGAGTTGAAGTCCACAGGTCTTATAATTGTCAAGGTTGGACACTGTGGCTTAAAGCATATCATGAGATATGAACACACAATTTATAGAACCGTATATTATGCAAACCCAATGAATTCTGATTAAATGCTGTAAAAGTGAAAGTAGCTTAAAACTACAATATGGATACAGCTACAGTATGGCTCTTTTAGAAAAGGTGGATGACTTTGCAGTGGACTCCATTGCCCACTGAAAGTGCTTCTTTAAAAAAAATGCTTAAAATACTGTCGTTTGAAAGTGATCAGGAAGAACAAGAAAAGCTGTAATAGCCCCAGTTTGGAGGAGCATTGTAAGACTACCACGTTGATGGACATACAGTAATTAGGAAAGAAAGAACTCTCTCTCCCCCACCCTCATGCAGCCTGGGAAAATGGTTCCCCTTTGGCTTTCTTCTTCCTCATGGTTGATACATTCTCCTATAAATGGCCTCTTCCAAGATATAAAATGATTTATCTGGAAAAAAATAAATAAAACAGACTTAAATTGTTTCTAAAGCTGGACAGTTCAAATTGGGAGAAAAGAAACGGCTGGATTTCCCCCCCTCTCCTTCAATTCTGCCTGCAAATCTCTCTCTCTCCCCCCCCTCCCCCTGCCTCTCTACAATTTTGGCAGATCTGGATTTGAAAACTCTTTTTTGCCAATAAACATAGTATTTCATACTCAGTCTATAGATTACATTCTGGCTCCAAATCATGGAAAAGTTGTGGTGAACTGAACCAAGGGATGGATTCCAAGAGCCTTAAGGGGCTATAACTCCCATTTCTTATCACATCTAACAGAAAGCCTGTTGCTCCTCTGCCTTTTGACATGTTTTAGGTAAGTGATTTTGTGACTCATTTGGGTAGAGTTGAACATCCTCAGAAGAATGCAGGTTACTAGTGGTGCAAAAGAGATTTGGACTTTGACTGGGCCACAAGCCAGCCTTGCTGGGAGGGGAGAGCAGTTAGTTGAAAGATGCCTCTTTTTCATCCGTGTCTAAATGGGAAACAGCTGCAGCTGTTCCAGCCAAAGGATTACAGAACTGGACCAACCCTGGGGAGAGGGTGTTAAAGATAATACCAGGAAAGTGGGCATGAAACTTTGACCAGGGCCTCCTAAACTTTCTTGCTGGCATGTCCTGCCAGCGCTGGCAGCTGGGCAGCCAGTCCTCCCTTTTTATTCCCAGTACTTTGACAAAAACCCCAAAAGCTCCATTCTCAAGCCTATTTGCAGTGACCAAGCCTTGGATAATAACGGATGCAAAAAATACCAAGGGATAAAAGCTTAGATGGAATGCACCCCCTCCCTGCACTGTATAAACCAACTTTGTAATTAGTGGGCAGGAATTTCATGTCAGAGAAAGTTAACCTTTGGGGCAGCTTTGAACCATAGTATATCTACAGGATCAACCAAAAGTCAGGCCCCATAGACTATAATATACCTTACATTCAATGTTCCAATTAGCTACCATTTTCTTCCAAACAGTCCCTTACTCATTTGATGCATGACCGTTGAACATTCCCAAGTACAGTAGCATTTTCTCTGAAAAAAGAAAACATTAATAAAACATATTGTCCTTGGATTCTGGGGTCTAAAATTTTGTTACACCCTGTATATCTCACATTACTGAGTCCTCTGGATTTATTTTAAAATACTTAAACATTTTTCCTCGTACTTCACCTCCAGGATAGTTCTCACAATAAGCAGCTCCTGTTCCAGCTGGTTATAGCTTTTTTTCCCCAAACCCTCTTAAATGCAAGTTACCTGCTCTTGAGGATAGTACCCTATTTTTCATATTCTTGTTGGGTTTAATTTCTGGGAATGCCAAATGCTTTCCTCTATGCTTCCTTCCCCTGCTGAGAAGCCAGCCTAGTTCCTTTATTGGTGCAAAGGACAAAGCAAAATAAACAGGTGCTTCAGCTGTAAGCCTGCCAGAGTAGAGGTTGAGCTGGAAGGAAGCTGCGAGTAGAAGGCTATGATTAAAATGGATTTTTTTAAAAAAAATATCCAGAACAATTATTTTATGTTCAGAGAGCACCATGGATGAAAGATCAAAAAGAAATCATGCTTTTAGGATTTATCCTATACTTGTTTTGCACTTGATCCCTCCAGGCACTAGAAGGATTATGAATTGCTTATTCAGGGTTAGAAAGTCCAGAGAGAAGTTGGCTGGCAGAGGTTAGGCCAGGGGTGAAGGTGCCTCTGGGCAGACAGGAAAACTGGCATTGTTGCCTTCAATGATCACTTGGCTGAGCCCATACCACTAACACCAGTCTGTGAACGTTTACTCCCTGTATTTTGAGTTTTAAATGTCCTCTGTAGAGTTTTGAAGGTACAATCTGCTTTTGGCACAAGGCTGGGATTCCTCAATATCAGCTTTCCATTAAAACAAAAGTTGCCAGCTTCTGTGATTGTAGCTGAAAGCCAGAAAATATTTGGCGGGGGGGGGGGGACGGAATGTGTGTGTGTGTGATGGTTGTAGTGGAACAGGAGGAAGAATGTGTGCTGCAAGCTTATGAAGAGTCCTCACCTTTGCAGAATGGAGGTAAATTTCCTAAGTCCCCCTGGCTTTGCTTCTTTGCTCATAGTATCTTCCTTCCCTCAGGATGATTCCATTTAACACAATTGCAGAAGATGAATCCTTTATTAATTTATTTATTTATTTAGAGTACGTATACAGCTGCCCATCGAATGTGCTATAGCCTGGCAGCTCACAGAACAACAAATAAAAAATATAAAAAAAGCATACAAACCATTACAAAAATCCTGGCACATTGAATCGCACTGCACTCCAGCCTCACTCTACCCCAGTGTTTGTGGGAGGAGCCAGCTTTTTAAGGCCTTCTGGAAGCCTGGGATGGTGAAGGCCTGGTTAAACAGGTTAAGGGATCTCAAGGGAAAGAGTGTTCCATAAGGCAGGAGATACCATGGGGAAGATGGGTTTCCTGGATGTCAAAATGACAACATTTATGGGAAGGGAGCTGGAGTACGCCATCTCAGCCCTGGTTAAACAGGTAAGATATCTTCCAGGGGAGATGGTCCCACAAGTAACTTGACCCTGTGCCATTCAGGGTTTTCAAAGTGATAACCAGCACTTTGAATTGTACCTGGAAAGAAAGTGGAAGACAGTACAGTTCATGTAGCAGCAGTGCAATAGGGTGAACATTAGAACACCCAGAACTGTATGTGCCAGTGCATTCTGAACCACTTGTAATTTCCAGGTGGTCTTCAAGGGCAGCCCCATCTAAAGTACATTGCAGTAATTCAACTATGAAGTGACCAGAATGAAAGTGACTATGAACAGTGCCTCCCTGTCCAGAAATAAGTGCAATTGTTGCAAAAACAAATCTGTACAAAGACCCCCCGATACAGTTCCCACCTGCTCCTCAAGCAGGAGCTGGGAGTCCAGAAGAACCGTCATATTATATACAGGTTCTGTCTGTGGGAGTGCTGCCCTGGTCAGTATTGGAGGTAACCCATCACCAAGACCAGGAGGATCAAATACCTAGAGTCACTGTATCTTACTAAGATTGAATTGGAGTCAGTTTCTCCCCATTCAGACCCCTTATAACCCCCAGGCAGTGGGTCAACACTAGCATTGCTTTGCTGACCAGGGATACAAATGTGAAATTGGTCAGGCCAGGGCTGGCCAAGGGTACAGATGTGCAATTGTGTCATCAGATGACCTTCCCCAGCAGTCTTGTGTAAAAGTTGAAAAGAATTATTGAGAGCTCTGAACCCTGAGGCATCCCAAACTGCAGAGGCCCAAGGCTTAACCTGTCTTCCCTCACCAACAGTGACTGGAACTGGCCACAGACTAAGGAGGACAGCCATTGCCCAACAGTGCCCCCAAACTCTGGAGGCAATTCAGAAGGATACTATGATCAACAGGACTGAAATCTGCCACCCCTGTCACAAGTCCTCCATAGGTCATCCACAAGTGTGGCCAATTTATTTCAGGGCTTCAACCTGGCCTGAAGTCTGCATAATCCACTTCATCCAGCACCACTGCCATTCTGCCACCTGTAGGCCAGGTTCAAGGATGGCCCCTTAATGGCCCTGCAATGAGCTGTTAATGACTACTTGGACCCAACAGCACGGTACCTCCTGGGAGGTCTTGACCAACCAGGTGGGTCATGAGTCCAAAATATAGGTGGCAGAACTCTCAGCCCTGAAGACTCTGTCCACTTCCTTGGGAGTAACCAGCTCAAACTCTTCCCAGATAACTGAGTATTGAACTTGAGCTTTTGGAAACAAACTCAATCTATAGAAGTTCTTAGGTCATTCTAGTTTCCACCAGATGAATTTGCTGGCAGGGAGCCAGTTGAAATTCAATTTTCTATATGCTGACACATTCTACCACCACCTCCCTCATCTCAACCATAAACATCTCTCTTATCTGAGCTATATATGACAGGCTATGATGTAAGAAAGAACCTGAAGATTACTTATCACCAAAACATGCTCTAATTTCCTATGTTACGGCTCAGGAAAGTGCTGCTTTTTACTCAGAATCATGATATCCTAAGAGTGAATACAGTGTCCCAGAATTCCAGATTTGACTTTCCTGAACTACCCAACAGCTACAAACATTTGTTCTGCATCTGGGCGTCTGACTTAAAGTGTAAGATCCTGATTTTTTTTTTTTTTGAATCTAGCATCTTTCTTTTGACAAATTAAAGTACGGGTATAGCTTTTGATTAGGCAAATTACAGTGTGGCACACCAAAGCCAGATGTGCCTGCAGAACATGGGAAATAAACTCTGAACTAAATTAACTTGGCTGGGATCAGAGTATTCACATCCAGCAGAGAACAAGTGGGTGCTTGCTTTTGCTTTAAAAAACGAACCATGGAACTTGTGATTCCTGGGGCATCCATGGATGTGTAACAAATGATTTATTCCCACTGTAATGCTTGTTCGGCTCATTATGACATCTGGCTGCAACGAAAAGGAGGAGAGTCTTCATCAACTCAGCTGCTATTTTAACTCCATTGTTCTCCAAATGTTCACCATCATAACAATAAGCATTAAATGCTAGACTTGTTTTTCTTCTTCTTTTCTCTCCCTTTTCCTGTTTCTTTTCCTCTGGTGTATGACAGATGTCAGCCTGTAGGTGGAGCTTGCCTTATTTTTCAACTTCATCTAGGTTTAATGATGCTGGTGATGGAAACCATTTGAGGGGCAGCCTGTTTCCCTTTTCTGCTCTCAAAGATATAAATACTTATGGTGTCTTGTGGGAGAAGTAGCCACTCGGGGATGGGCTATATGTGTAGGATCCATTGTCCTCTTAAAAAAGACAATATTCAGGGATGACAAGGGACAATTGTCACTGATGGAATGAAGGACTGCTCTCTGATCCACCTTCCTTGTAATCTCTTGAGGACCAAGCATTTAAGATGGAGCTGCATCTTGATGATAGAACATATATTTTACTCCTGCAACCTTCAGGTTGAATGATGAAAGTTTGTTTGGTGCCATTCTATGCAAACAAGGCAGAGCTAAATTGACTGGTGCTCAAGAGGGTACAAGGCAAGTTCCTGTTTTTTTTTTTTTTCTTATGTAACGCAAACAAAAGCCTGTTTAGCTGACAATGTTCATTCTTGCCCAGAGCCTTGGGAAGGAAGATCAAAGCAAAAGGGAGGTTCGTAGGGCCTACATCATTTACAGGGAGGAAAACCTGTGAAGCAACAAAACAAATACAACACTTGGTTGCAAAATAGAGTGGGTTGGCCTTCATTATCTCCAAATGCCAGCAGTGATGTTCAGCTTCCTTTACCCGCAATCCCTCAGATGGCTCAGGAGAAATGTTAGTACTATATCCAGTGGATATAGGTGGAAAGTGGAGTTAGCAGCTTTTTCACACTGATTCCCTATTCCTGCACTATTAACAACTGCATGGCATTACTAAAGCATCAGAAAGACAAAAGTATGTAAACAGGAAAGTAAATTACTTTCAGTTTTAGTCTTTTTAATTGCTTAAGTAGAGAAGCAAAATAAGAATCAAACAGGCCGTACCATAAATTGGCAGACTCTAATTCTGGGAAAGGTGGAAAGAGAGAGAAGAAGAGGGTAATCCATAGCAAGATGGTTAGACTCAGTTACAGTGAGTCAGACCAGGTTAGAGATAGATCATCATGAAGAAAAATCTATCTATGTGGTCCCTAGGAGTTGAAAATGACTTGATGACACATCATCTCCCTCCCTCCCTCCCAGATGATCTGAAGCTGTCAATTGTTTTTCCAAGGAAGGTACTCCTCTAAAGTTGTGAATCCTCCACAATTGCAAGCAATTATGTTGGAGGGCCTAACTTTATATTCTTCCTGTTTCCAGTTTTGGTTCCTTTTGTGCACAGAGCTCTTATCTAAGACACTGCACAGTATAGCAATCTGTTCAGTTTCCTCCTGAAATGTAACATTCAAATATGTAATCTGCCTTGTAACTACATCAATAATATGATTGCTGATAACAGCAGGTCGCTTTCTTTGTTTAATTTTCCAACCTAACTAGATGGCAAATGATTTATTATTAGCTAATGGACACATGACTGTTTACTTTTTGCTATCAGGCTCATTCACAATAGTATGTGGATGTGTGTGTGTGTGGATGTGTGTGTGGTGTTTGTGCATGAGAAAGTTTCATTGTGCTATATTTCATCCAGAAGGGGTTTAATCTGCAGCATGTTCCATGAACTGTCAGTATTTGTGCTGCCCATCCTGCTTTGGGTGAGAGGTTGCTCCCATTAAAGAGGAACCATTCTTCAAGCAATTGATCTGGACAAGGTTTCTTTGCCTGTTTTTTCCTCCATATAACAGGTAGTCCTCCACTTACGACCAAAATTGACCCCAACATTTCTGTTGCTAAATGAGACGGTTATTAAATGAATTTTGCCTGATTTTACAACCTTTTTTGCCACAGTTGTTAAGTGAATCACTGCAGTTGTTAAGTTAGTAATATGGTTGCTAAGTGAATCTGGCTTCCCCATTGATTTTGCTGGTCAGAAGGTCGCAAAAGGTGATCACATGACACACACACCCCAGGACACTGCCAGCGTCATAAGTACATGCCAGTTGCCAAGCATCTGAATTTTGATCACGTGACCATGGGGATGCTGCAACGGTTGTAGGTGTAAAAAAGGGTCATAAGTCACTTTATTCAGTGTTGTTGTAACTTCACATAGTCACTAAATGAACTGCGGTAAGTCGAGGATGACCTGTACTTCCTTAATTATGACATCTCTTTTAAAGTTTATGTTTCCATTAAGTGTTTTAGGCTCAACTTGCACAACACATAGGATATACGCTGAATGTCTTATACGGGTAGATGTGAAGGCAACACAATCTGCAGACTAATTAGGAAACCTGCTGCGCCCACTTCACAGTCTTTTTTCATATGAGGACTCAATGGAAGACACCCAGAGAATGAATGGCAAACATGGGCTGCTTTGATTTGGTGCCCTGATATATGTTCTGGCTCTATCATGCACACCCAAACACAGTGTCTGATTTATGGTTACATTTCCCTACCCCCATCATATTTGAAATGATGTGTATATATGGGAGGGAGGGGAAATAAATAAATATATTTACCTATTTACTGAAATAGGTAAATATTGTGTGTATGGGGGGGAGAATAGCCAAATCTCAGCCTTTAGTCTGAAAAAGAATTCTAAACCTAAGCCTAAAAAGTGATAGAATGTATAGCTATAAAAAGAAGAAGTACACGGAATATAACAGATTGAAACAGACATGAAACTATTCTACTCTTCATCTTGAGGTTCATCTTAAAAGCATCACATTAAGATATTTACATTTTTGTGATTATGCTTGATAATTTTCCAGTCTTCGTCTTGTTGATCTTTTAAATTTTCAAATCAGCAAAATGTTATCAATACATTATGATCTCATTGTCAGACTTGAAATCAAGTAAGGTTCTCCAGAGGTATTCCTCGACAAAGTGTAGTGTTACAGGTAGTCCTCTACTTATGACTACAATTGAAAGTTTCTGTTGCTAAG